AACACCCTGTATATGAACAGCAGGTCATTTTTATTGAGCTGCTCCCTACACAGCTCCCTAATGATTCCTTGGTCAGGGCTCTGATTGCAAATACCAGTAGCTAACAAAGGGATAAAATTGCTCTGGTACAATCCTACTGTGCGTTTTTAATATAATGTGCTAATACATTGTCCGGTGTTCCCACAGAATTGCACCACCTCACCGAGTAGGCCTGGCCAATATCTGATTGATTCTGGTCTGTGGGGATTGGCCCAGTTCAGTATAATTTCCTGTCTTGCTGCTTTCTTGTCTGTTAGAGAGGGTTTGGGTCTGTGAAAATCAATAGCCTTGCACATGCAAAATGTGAGGTTATTCCCTAGCAAGTTTCATTCGCATCTTTGATTTATGGAAAATGTTTTTTTTCTCCTCTGCACTTTTTTTTTTTTTTTAAACTCTACTTAAACAAATACCTGTTTAAACATGCCCCCCGAAGTATTTGTACAGGAGAAAATGTAAATTACTGTGAGGATGCTGGAGAAGTTTAACATGTGCATAGCCGGGATCTGCTACTTATGACATTAATAGCACTTAACTGTTACGTAAATGGAGTCCTATTTGTCTCAGCAGAATCATTAAAGTTCTGATTTATCCTAAAATGGACTCTAATGTTCTATTTAATCATAACAGATATTTAAGTGTCTAAGAGTCTATTTCCTTTCACCCTGTGAACTTTGGAAAGATGGTAATTAATGGTGTACAACAGGATAACTTTATTTTTATAAGAAATATGTTTCTAATATTTCCCTCACTTATTACAGAAATTGAAGCAAACTGAAGAAACAAAAGAAGATTCCCAGAACAGAGTATCTAAAATGTCCCTGGAGTCTCTCAATAAATTTAACAGCAATAACGTGCTTTTATTAGAAAAAGAGAAGAACTGTCTGAACAAGGTTGAAGGACAAAGGGAAGAAAATGGGAAGAAAGAAGAAGCTTCCTTAAATAGCTCGGGTCAGCACGAAGTGGACAATTTGGAATCCTTGAGTGATTCCCTGTATGATAGCTTTTCCTCTTGTGCCAGCCAAGGCTCCAACGACGTGTAGAGACACTTCCCAGTGGGCTGTGAGCGCGGCACACAATGGACCTGAAGGCGAGCAAGGAGTGAGGGGGGGAAAAGAGACAATTGCTGAAAATTCCCCCTCTGGATCGTGGCACTCATGGCAGGGTGTTCTGACTTCCCACCACACAGCAATAAGGCAGGGAGGCGGCATGGTGGCACGTGGGACTCAACGCTGAACACAGCGAGCGCTTACACAGAATAAAGTCTTAATTTTGCACTTTTGTGAATATTTGTACAGTTGTAAATACCTTGGGAAAATATATTTGTAGGGATACACGACAGCAATAAATATTACATTGGTGCTATGCTCCTGTAATGGCATATTACTAACTTAAAGAAATTGGTGTTAATATTAACAAGAAAAGTTAGTAGATTTTTTAAAAAAGATTTATAATTGTTCTAGTCTTAAGACTGTATGTAGAAACACTGCGTTACCATAAACCTGAGCCTGCCAGACTGTCTGCAATAAACTTTCACGGGCTCTGTTTTACAAAATGTTTTATTTTTTACTTTTAGTGCAATTCCATACAGGTGATCTAGGGAGGCATGCATTTCAGTTATTACAACTTCACAACAGGTGTCTTATTTCAAAAGGGTTTTGACTTTTGACATGGCAAGAAAATGAATAGATTAAAAGTCTTGATACTGCTGGCATTGGCTTCATCAGTCATGCACATAACTGTTTGAGAGATCAGGGTCAAAGCAATTCACTGCTGACACAAACGGGAGTCTTGTAGGAATGAGAACTACATAAACCGCCCTGTGCTTCTGACTGCAACATAGTTTTTCAATTTCCACCTCCTCTGTACTCATTTGCCATCAAATTATGAATGTACCATACCGTGTTATCTTTTGTAGTCTCTGTTTGGTCTTAATTAAATTCTAAATACTAAAATTATTTTTTAAAAACTGAAACAACTCCTGTTTGTGACACAGTACAAAAATATGTTGGTGCTAACCAGTACTAGTTCAAACATATCTAGGAGCAGGGCCTGTTTTGGGTGTTATTTGTTTTTTCTACAGAGGTTGTTTATATGTAAGGGAAAGTCTATTTCAAAGGTTCTGTGTATTTTTTCTAGCCGTGAAGTATTTATAACTGCTTTTTGTACAGCAATTGTAAACTAGATATATTTGGGGTATTTCTAGACTCTATAGTTTCTTTAGCATATGCCTGTTAATCTTTGAAATATTATATGATCAGTGTTAATATTTTGTGCAATTTGTTATATTTTAAGTCATTTCCACCATAAAATTGCATCGTCTTTTTCGACTTCTAGAAGAAATTTTCATTGAAACATCTTTTGTAAATAA